TTGACAGTGATTTCCACAATTTCAATGGGTGAAGCTACGGCAGAGACATCTTTACTACACATTGGACGTACATCATCACTGAAAAATAAATGTTTATTTGATCTTCTGGTTCGTATGCTGGCGTATTCACAAAAAAGTACTACTAGGTATGTTTCATGTTTTAATGGATTACCTTCCCGAAACTTGAACAAATCTAGTTGGAAAAGGGGAAATGGACTCCTCGCTGTTATTAGAGTTGTCGGTGGTTGACTTTTTCCTAGAGAACACAACGAAGTAATTATTTTTCTACAACCTCCTACTACAGGTTACTTACATACAAGGTTTTCACTTTTTGACAAATAATAATCTACGAATCCGATTCACACATAGCCATTACCTCTAAATAACCAATTATTTCATTGTCAAAAATATAATATGAAATACTCCTAATAAAAAAGGTGTAACTTTCTCAACGATATCACTTGTTTGGAAATAGATCTATATTTATTTTATACTTATAACGTTGAATTATGGATAAACGTAATTATTATTAACAATCCATAATTTTATTATAATTCACTATATCAAAGATACGACTATAAAATCGGACATGAATATTCCTTTTGTCATACAAAAATAAAATTGAATTCGAAGTTGAATTCCAATGAATTTGCTCTAAACATCGTTTTCAGTATGTAACTAACCTTGAGTCATAATGATATCGCTCAAATTTATAAAATAGTGCGATTAAACTAATTGAGTAGTTATTGATTTCTTACCGATGTTTCTACGCCTACGTATTTTCTCACTTGTGTACTATCGTTTTCCTTTCGCAGCTAGCCTTCTTTTCCCAAAATCATACCAAAAAGCAAGTTCCGAATTCAAAAACCATGAAGGAGAAATTCACAATGAACGAAATGCAGCCCATAAATAAAAATCCGTTGCCGTAAATTGATTTTCTATTTTACTTCTCAAAGTTTTCATTTAAAATGTGATGATTTGAAAATGTACTTAATTTCAAAAAAACTATATTCACTAGAGGGTAACTCTCATTTTCCATGATTTCAAAACAATTTAGTTGGGATAATTTTTTTTCTTTTCAAAAATTCGAAAAACAATAGTCAGGCACTTGAGGAATATTTTTTTGAAGCGATCGGTGCAAGTTGCATGAGAATCGGATAACTGGTTGAGAAACTATAAGTAAAATACGTTTCAAGTGGGCATGGATTCCTCTTAAAGGGTGTTTTTTTAGTTTTTTAAACTATCATTTACTACATTAATATTTGCTGGTCCCTTTCGAGAAGAAATAATATCTACTTCACATCTGAAATTTAAGCAGAGGAATTAATACGTATTGAAGAAAAATAAATATCATCGAAAACTATACTATGAATTATCCGTCAGAGTATCTCATATAAACAAAAACATTATATTTATTTGGAATCTTCTTCATCCTGAACTTTAGATTCATGAAAAATTCACCTTTTTTACTATCGATGGTGCAACCTAAAGAGTTTACATAATTGCTTTAGACCCAGAGAATAAAAAAAGTTTTATATTTGTTCCTACATCCCGTTATAAAATGAACAGAACAAAACTAGAGGGTCTCAATAAAGAAAAGAGTGAATACTACGAATCAAATAATCCTTATTTAGAAATTAAAAAATAAATATGGCAATATATGTGGTACATACTCACACATAGTTCTTTTCAGTATATGCGATGAAAAAATGTATGTATCCCATAAGATACACACAGTATGCTCTCCAATATGTGTGGAAACGATTTATTTAAAGGTCTACGTTTCACCATGATCTCAGATGACATTATCAAGACTTGTTTCTGCTCTTTATTCGTAACTCTTATGAACAAGGAGCTGTTTTGATATCGGCATCTGCATTGACAAAACGTAGACCTTTAGAATATACACAACGCATGCACACCCAGAAAAACAACTTCACATATACCCGCAGAAAATATTTTGAAAGATGTATAATTTTCTTTCATTTCAAAATAGTAGTAGTAGTCACTTCCAGTTTTCTCAGACTTTGTCTGAGAAGAATAAGATACTCTATATTGCTCTGAGGACCTGGTAGATACCACCTTGTTGAAGAGAAATGTTAACTTTCCTGAATGTTGAATTCTTGATTGAATTTTTAAGAGTTCTTTCAAATACTTTGTAATCAATAACTGCTTATTCAGTATCATTTTCAGAATTTAACACAGGAAGGAGTAAGGTGTTCTATAATAGGGTTAGCAGCTGACGTACATGTGTGTCGACAACTTGCCAATCAAACTAATGGTGTTTATAATGTTATACTTGATGATAGTCATTTCAAAGATCTTTTACTTCAACACGTTGATCCACCTCCAGCTGCTACTTGTTTGGAATCGAGTTTGATAAAAATGGGATTTCCACATCAGATTGACAATGAAGGATCAGAAGAACCATTAACAATGTGCATGTGGTAATATAACTTTCTTCCATAACCTTTATAATACATGTAATGATTAGGATTATTTTTCACAAATATTGGTTTGAAAGATTTTTACATTTTTACCTTGAAACGTTGTTTTTGCACTGAATAAAAAGCATGTGGCGTATATAATCAAATAAATTAGTAGTAATAAACATTTTTGAAAACAAGATTCCATTTACATGCTCTGAAATGAAGAGATTGAAATTTAAATTAAATTAAACCCATCTATTTATTTGATGATATAAAAGCTTGTCAGAAGTTTTATTTTTATAACAATAATTTTTCTTGGAATTACAAATATCATGTTCAAGTTACTTATTGTATTCTTGTTTATACATATGTAAACCTCGCGAAAGCTTTTATATCATGTAAATCATGTATGTAATTGCTTAGTAGGTCCCTAAAACATTTGTTTGAACACAACCAAACTTTCTCTATCCGATGACTCAAATTATTTCGACCAAATAAATGAAAATTATTTTTAAATGTATATATTCAAATATTACATAACATATTATCATAATTTTTTTTGATATCTAAAAGCAAACTGATCAAAATTCAACTGAAATCAAGTTTCAACAACAAACGATTCACTGTTGAGACTTCGAGATGTAATTTTCGTCCTCACAGTAAACCCACATACCACTAATGATGTCTGCCGCAGTAGCAGATGAAACGTTGGGAGCTTCAGATTCCATTCGATCACTTACTAGTCCGGATTTTATTCTCTGTGACTCCGGCCGTGAAAGAATATGTTCTTATATAACATATACATATACATCCCACAAAACCGAATACGAATGAATAGACAAGAAACGACTCCAAATCTCAATAGGAATCGTGGTAAAGGAATCGCCACCCTCATTAGGAATAATTTATGCTTTGGTTGAGTATATTTTACACTTGATTATCAAAACAAATACTTTCGATTCATCATTATCAAATTTGCCAACATTGATATAATGAATGTCTATTCCCCAGAAGCAAACAAACAACAGAGAGATGTTTAACCAAATAAAAGTTGAAGATCCATTAACTACAATGGAGGATTTCAACATACTCCATTTTTTATGGGGTTAGATTAGGTTAAGTTAGGTCAAAAGTGAGTGGGACCACTAGACCAAATAAACCCAGCTTCTTAACAAAACCGATTAGTTTGTATGGTGATTGGTCCTTCAGGTCAGATGGTAAGAGTATGTGCTCTGCTGTTTCATCATTTTCCAAACAGAGGCGACACACACTGTCTTCCGACAGTCCGAGTCTTTGCATATGATGATTCAAATGACAGTGACCTGTGAGAAGGCCTGTAAGACATCGTAGTTCATTACTACTGTAGTCCAACAACTGTTTGGTATCAAGCTTGGAAGGGTGAATAAACGCCTTGGAGTGAGCCCATCCTGGAAGATTCTGCTAGAAGTCCATACATCGTCTTGCCATCCAGGTGTTCAATCTTTGTTTGGCAAAGCCTAAAGCGATGACAATGACAGCTTCTGGTCCGATGAAGCTGCTTGCAGCCTTATTGCCTTCCAGCCCAGTGTGGCCAAGAATCCAGACCAGAGACAATCTTTTAGGTCTTCTATCGAAAAGAGTCGTTTTTGGCAATTTGCTACCAATTTATATATTGCCAGGTAGGAGCCAAGAGCTTCCAACGCCGCTTGAATGTCCGAGAATATTTTTATTGACTTGTGAATGAGGGGATTCTTCAAATCTCCCAACATACAATTCAATACCGTAAATTTCCGCTTGAAATACAGTCGCATAGGTTCCTAGACCGGTTGATATTTCTGTCCTGGATCTGCCATTGAAAACACCTGCATCAGAACCGGAAAGTGTTTTAATCCATCTGTGAATCAACAACTATCTCCTCTTAATATTTCCTTCTTCCGGAGGATCCAGTCCTCTCCACTCGCGAACAGAACTTTATAAGGCAGCTCGTAGTTGACAATTGGAGGCATAAAGTCAGAGGTCATTCCCAGAATGCTGTGACTTCCAGTGTCAACCAGCAGTCTGTTGTACTCTGCATTAAATTGATTGGTGCAATTGGTAATGTACACAAGTCTATATGCATTCCATCTAGCCTCTCTCTCCAGAAAAATGTGGAGAGGAGGTACATCTAGAAGGATCTCCATGGCCGCTGACGGTGTGGTACTGATGGCCAGACAAGACTGTTTCTCTAAGCCAGAGAGCTTCGCCTGAGCAATTTAATTTCGTATAATTCAACTAAAAAAAAAAATCCATTGTACTTTAATTACACAACACAACAAAGTTTTTGTTTCGGGGTTGAAATTAGATGATTTTAATGTATTTCCACGTGTTAAAACCGAAAGTGACCATAAAAATTATATANCAGAATAAATTAAGAAATGAAGTAAGGACTAATATCAAGGAGAACAAAGGTATAACATATGAAGGAATTCAAGATATGAAATATCTGAGCATGTGTATCAATGGTGAGTAATAATGACCTACTTGCATTTATATTCTATTGTCTTCCATGTTATATATTTTCAGTTTCATTTCATTCAGAACTCACTATTTTTCATAAACTCAAATCAGAATTTTCAAAGATGATTGCTTCAACTTTGACTTGTTACATTGTTCAACATATTGTTCAATATGAGATGAAAACGGCCGATACTTAATGAAAAATCATTACAACGTTTTTCAAATAATATTTTATCGTCTAAACTTAAGACATCCGCACTTGTCAGAAACATTTGCTTCATAAATTTCCCATCAGTGAAAGGTCTTCCCTTTCACGAGTACCAACTATTGAATAGATCCCTAATAACTGGGTGTTAAAATTCCCAAAAATCAGTGAAAGGTCTTCCCTTTCACGATTACCAACTATTGAATAGATCCTTAATAAGTGGGTGTTAAAATTCCCAAATTTCCTTCAAATTGAATATTTATTTTATTGCTTCGTCACAAAGTTATGCGTGCCATTTTAAACTACCAGGCGTGCCAAGTCTATTTGTATGTAAGTATGCCCCTGTATGAATATTGTACTTTCAAAATAATTTATTGAATTTCTAATTTTTTAAAAATTGATTTGCATAACATTAATAATGTGCTACTAAGTGTAATATGACTTGCCATATCCAAGCACAACTTGGCTACAAATGGTTAATAAAGAATCTGACTCTGAATCTATGACAGTACAATATAATAAGTATTTATTGTGTCATAAAATACAAAATTACAAATAAAAGAACCAATTACATTTGAAATGATATCAATCAAACCCAAAAACTAGGTAAAAAAGTTAGGATACAAATAAACTGATAGGATTAAAATTTGCTAAAATTAATTGAATTTAGCTGCCCATTCAGGATAGCCTCTTTGAAATTTTTCTACAGGGTATGAGCAGAAAAATTACGATACTTTTGAGGGCATATTATTTAACAGATAGGGTACTAAATAAGAAAAAAGAACCATGGATAGGAATAGAAAATCTATCATTAATATTCCTCAGTGATCTATTGTGAATGTCCTCCCCTCGAACTATTTTTGAGGCAAGGTACTTGGGTAGTCCAGTAGCCAAGATCGTGTTGACAAAAGGCTTTTCATCCAATTTCAAAAGTTGCAATCACTAATATGGGGAGTGATATGTGCTCGAGGGTGAATAGCTTTTATAAAACGAATGCATTGATTTTGCATTTTTTTTTCAATCATACATGCCCTTCATGTGATGAACAAGATCCATAAATTATGTCAGCATAGTTAGTATGCGAGAGGACAAGAATTTTGCAAAGCATTTTTTCAGTGGTAATTTCACTAGTTCGGACTTCCATTGTCTACTATATGAAATGATTTGAAATCCTTGAACAACTAAAAAGAAGTTTTAAAAATGAATAGCTGAAAATAACAATTATATTAAGCAAAATAAACCTGAAATGAAATAATAGTGAAATAAAATTTTTACTTGTATGCATTTTATTTCACTATTATTTCATTTCAGGTTTATTTTGCTTAATATAATTGTTATTTTCAGCTATTCATTTTTAATTCTTCTTTTTAGTTGTTTCAGGGATTTCAAATCATTTCATATAGTAGACAATGGAAGTCCGAACTAGTGAAATTCATCATGAAACATTGTCAATCACCTTCAAACAAACATTTAGTGGTAATGTTCAGATCCCGTTTGAAGGTGAATAGTTTTTTTAAATTTAGGTAGGTTTTCTTTGCAACAACACCTAATTGTTTGGAAAATGCGAGTAGTTGGTCAAAAATAACACCAAGACATTCAGCTTGAGAAACAAATGGAAATACAAACAGGGAACTCAACAAGCGACTTAAGTTGAAGAATTATCAAAAAAGAATATTTTAGCGTTTTGCTGGGTTTGGGAGTAAGGAGTTTTCCTCAGTCCACCTCTTTATGGTTGTAAGATCGTTTTTTTTTGTTTTTATCAGCGTATCAAACTTTTGACAAGGTTGTAAAATTAGCACTGAAAAATTGTGATCGGTTGAAGAGATAGGTTTTGAGCCAGTCTGAAAGTCGACCATTAAACCCATAGTAATGGAGATTTGCGGTTAGGCAGTCAAGGTTGACAGTATCAAAAGCCTTCGACATATCTAATAGAGTAGGATACTTTCAGAAAATTTTCTGATATAGAACATAATGCGGAAACTGTACTATGATCTTTACGAAAGCCTAACTGGTTCGCAAATAGGGATAAACTAAAAAGATCCTGAAGAGGAGTTTTCATAGAAGTTTTCAATGTAGTTCTATTGGCCAGGTACTGTAGGTACTGAGTCAATAAAATGATCATATATAATATTGGTATCTTTTATGGCGAAGTTAGAGCAGATATGTGGATTTATTCTTATTAAGTACAGTAGTAATGCCTTTGAACTTCGAGTGTGGTTCTGTTGAATTTCCTGAAGGCACTAATTTTCAGTTTCCTCAATATTCGGTGAACCGTGGTTGAGAATTTTTACCGATCGAATTAAAGATGATTTTCAAGGGAGCATGGGTTTCAAAGAAG